ATCGGGATGGGTGTGTCAGAGGCAGTGCGGTTGGCGCAGGATAGAGTAGGGTTTAGGGCTGTTGTGCATAGGGTCGCTATGAGTCGAAAACGACTCGACGGCACATAACAACAACAATAACAACATACTTAATGCTTTTGAATTCCGCATTTAGAATGAACTTAAAGTACCAAATACTAGGGCAGATATGTATGTGCTGCATTTATTTACTATTCAGCAGAGCTGGAAAATGACTGACAATCACAGAAGAATAGATAGATGTCTTTGAGTCGTGGTGCTGGAGAAGAATCTTGAACATAGGATGGACTGCCAAGAAAACAAATAGTTCCGTTTTGGAGAAGGGGAAACGAGGTTTCTCCTTGGATTTTAGGATTTTGAAGCTCTGTCTCACAAACTTTGTTTTTCTTTCTTTTTTTTTTTATTATACTAGTTTATTTACAGAATTCAAATGCGTTGTTTTCAAGAACAGATTCTTCCAATTTCCCTCATACCCCCACCCATTAAATTGTACCAACTCCATATTAATACCCCCCACCCCTGCACATCGTCACCGCTCTGCTTCCTCCTCCTTCGATCCTTATACTCATTCTACGGTAATGGTTTTATACAATATTTGTCCTTGTGAGACTTAGTTCACTCAGTATGATACTCTCCAATCCCTCACAAGTTAGGTAATAATTTACAAAATCATTGCTCTTGTGTGCTGCGTAGTATTCCGTTGTGTGAATGTACCATTGGTAAATCAAGCATAGAAAACAGCATGCGTTCACATTTTGCATTAAAAATTAAGCATAACCTTGAAAAGAACAATGCAGATCATAAAATAAGAAAAAAAGGAGGTGACACAAAGCAACTTGATAGCCTCAGTCTTATGAGAGAATAAATTGGGAACAAATAGGTTAGCTTAATTTACTATTACTTCACTTATATATTGAAATAGGAAATACAATGTGAGTGCTGACAAATACACTGTATTTTAAAAGTAAATCTTTGTAACTGAATTACTGACATAGATGCTTAAGTTTTTCTCTCTCCCAGAAAACATTTCCACATTCTTTTCCTATTGAAATTTCAAAGAAAAATTGTATGAAATATAAACTTAAAAACCAAAACCACAAAAATAAAAAGTTACATTGACTCAATTACTATTCTAAAGAGACTGAAAGAAAAATTGTATTTCTGATATTTGATTACTAAAGTGCTAACTCTTGATGATATGTTTGGAATTTACATAAATTTTACAGAAAAATATTTTTATGCAGAAAGCTTTGTTTTCCAGCTTTCTATTACAAAAGTTTGAATAAAGTACATAGAAATGATGGTATATGAATAATGGCACATTTTGTTTGCTATGTGCCGTTAAGTTATAGCAACCCTATTCACACTAGCTCTGAACCCTGCTCTGTCCTGAGCGAATCTTTGTCTCTGACACACTTACCCTCTGTGATATCCTTCTCCAAAGAGTGGTCTCTCCGGGATACATGCCCACAGTATGGGAGATGGTGCCTCAAAGTCCTTGCTTTCAAGGAGAAGCTTGGTTTTATCCTCTCAAGGACAGACCTGTTCTCTTGGCAGGCCATGGTATGTTTACTAATCTTCTCCAGCACCACAGCTCAAAAGTATCAGTAATTCTTCTGTCATCTTTGGTCATGGTCTAGCTCTCTGGTGCATAGCAAGTAATTGCAAAGACCATACCCTGCATCAGGCACACCTTAGTCTCCAGACTGACATCCTTGGTCTTCAGGACTCTGGAGAGGTCCCTGACAGCATATTTCTCAAATATAACTCATCTTTTGATTTACCAAATGCTGGTGCCAAGAGTGTTGATTGTGGAACCAAGCAAGCTGAAATTAACAATTTCCATCTCTTCTCTATCATGATGTTGCCAGTTGGCCCAGTGGTGAGAATCTTCATTTTCTTGATGTTGAGCTTCAATCCATATTGCAAACTGCAGTCCTTGAACATCTGCAGCAAATGCTTCAGGCCCTCCTTAATTTCAGCAAGTATGATTGTATCATCTGCATAAAGCAGCTTGTTAATGAATCTTTCTCCAATTCTGATGCCATATTCTTCCATATAAAGTCCTGCATCTTGAGTGATCTATTCTGCATACAGATTAAAAAGGAATGGAGACAGGACACCTCTCCAATGCACTCCTTCTCTGATTTTTGAACGATGCAGTGTTTCCTTACACTGTTCTAATGACTACCTCCTGGTCCAGATATGGGGGAGGGGATCTGTTTTCTGTTGTTTGGGGTTTTTTTATTTAAAATAAAATTTTTATTTTAAACTGGTTTACTTATAGAGTTCATATGCATTGTTTTTCACACTGTATCTTTCCCATTTCTTTTACCCACCCCTCCCTCCAGTGGCAAAGGAGGTTGAGTTTTCGAGTATGGAACAGTTGTAAGCAGACACTGGTGATTGGAACATGGAATGTGAGAACC